TCACTAGATTAAAACACGGTAGAACGCATTTGAAGAGAATTGTAGGTTGGAGTACGAAGACACAATATAAAAACGTAAACCGAACTGAAAATAGGAATGATGAAAGAATGGGGAACAATGATGCAGATATTACTACCCTCTCGAAAAAAACTGGTTAACTCTATGCCAAGACATTTGAAAGTTGTCATAAGTGCTGCAGGATATCCTCTATTATACTAAACTCGGCGGAACAAACAACCCTTAGAGAGCCATGGTCGGCAGTGCCCTGATATCTGTTTTCTAGACCGTTGAGCATCTTAGCCTGGACAAATGGTTAGCTTGTCGCAGGAACCCCGGAGTTTAGGCGCCTAGCGAGCTTGGTACTCATTTTATCGATCCATCCCAGAGGGTTGAAAGGCTGAGTCAACCTTGTCCAGACAGCGGTTCGAACGCCGGACCTGTGGTGCTGCTGAGCTACACGCTAGCCACTACGCCACCGGGCTTACATTATACTAACTAACATAAATATTGCAATATTTACTAATATGTGGTATTTCTTGAAAGAGTACGAAGCCTTTTGTGGGGTAAGTTTTCTGCTATTTCTTGATTATTGATTTTTCCAAAAAAAGTTTCACTGCGTTCTTAAAATGACAAATGTATTTTTGCTAAGAGAGAAATTTATAGATATTATTATAAAAATTTCTCATTCTCAAATACTAATTTTTTAATGAATAAAACAATATATTTCAGTCAAACTCATAGGTGTACGAACACTTTTGTGTACGAACACTGTACATGTGTCTGTAAATGGAAAAAAGAGCCCGTAATGTAAAACTTTTAATAATAATGATATAAAATTTGAAAGCTTTCGGATTTTTTAAAATTTTTAATTAAAATTTTTATTTTTTTACTTATTATTATTATCGTTTTAGCTTTGTTATTAAGTATGATTTTCTTCGCATTTAAGTCATGTATACTTCAACACAAAATTTACAAAAATTTTAAAAGCAGTATATGAGTGTACGTTTAGAATTCTTGATGCAGCGTTAAGTGTTGATATAAATGTTTCTGTTTCCTTTTTTAGTCTTCTCTTAGTTCATCGTATCAATGTCCAGTTTTCTTACTAAAATGGCTTTACAAGACTTTTTTTTTTTTTTTTGTTATTTTATTATTAACGTTTTCTGTGTTTAGTTTATTTATTAAATATCACATTCTTCGCGCTTACGCCACTTAAAATTCGATTAAACCAAAATCGCAAAATATTAAAAACAGCATATTTTTAGAATTTTTGATAGCAACTCGAGCGCTGGAGAAAGAAATGTTTTATTCAATACAGTGTTGCCGCTGCACACTTTGAAATCATTGAATCTGTTAATCAAAAATTCATTAAAGTTTTACAAAATATGAAATAGGTAATTAAAGAACTTCGAAATTCACAATTCGGGCTTCCATCTGCTCATGTTCGGGTGGAGGAATACGTTATTCAGAATTTGATGGCTTTAGGTATCGTTGTTTTTTTTACAACACGAGAAACATGCATACATTCGTGCAGATTTTTTATTATTTAAGTTCTTTAAAAATAATGTAGAGGGATAATATTTGGGGGCAACAGTTTGGAAAGTGGTACGCCGTTTATAATGATTCCAAGCAAAATGCCGTTTCGAGACTAATATCTCATTTCACACTTATTCCACCCAACTACCTTTCATCTGGACCAACAAACCTCCTGCTCGACTAACAAGAAAGCTTCCTGACTACTGAATACATCTATCTTCACAGCCAGCCTCTCCTCATACGAACTTCGACTTCCACTGCTGGAGCATCACGTTACATCGACCTCCATGTTTTTCCTGTTTACCATCTTGAAATGCTAAGAATTATCTGCGCATTATTAGTTCAGTTTTCGAAAATAAAGTATTACTTATATATAATTACTTATATTACTTATAAATAAAGTATTACTTATATGGGATACGGCTTGCTGCCCAGGCCCGTAGAAAGGAATGTTTGTTCACAAATATAGCAAATATCCCATTCGGGACTAATAAAATTTGTGCTAATAAAATTTATTGCACCTGGGAAACGGAAATTGACACAAATGATAAGATTATAGAATTTTGATTCTTCTAAAAAATCAAATACCGTACCAAATAAAGCAACTTCCTCTTCTCACACTTTAATAATTACAAAATTAAACAATAGAATTTTTTTCTCATTTTGAAAATTTTAGAAATCTAGTTTTGAAAATGAAATAGATGGACCATCAGCTTTTTAAACTATTCATTTTCAAAATGTGGGAGAATCGATAGGAAAAGAGCAATTCAGAACTTATTCTTTCGTAGACAATATCTGTATTAAAGATGTCTTAAAAATGCGATGAGGGCATATCAACATATCAAAGTCAATAAATCACCCAGATCTTTTCCTTGAATAGGGACGCTTTGCGATGATTGAGTATGCAAGACTAATCGAATTTTAAGGTGATGGGTCAAACCCAAGGCACAGCGCAGACCTTTGCAAATATAATATTTAACAACTTTTTTTCGTTATATGAGGCTCTTTAGAAGTATTCCAATTTACATTCCTTGCTGAGTTGCAAGCGTAAAATATTTTAGAATGCAAAACTTTCGATTCTTTTGGAAAATAAAATTAAGCCAGAAAATAACCTGATAATTAATTTATAACATGCCTAAGTTGCATCATTATGAGAGTGGATCTAGAGGTTGATTGTAGGAAATAAATTTCCTCATTTTCAATTCGATGCCTCATATTGTATAGATATCAGATAATTATTTGACGTGAGCAGGCTTTTGCCTAATTTGAGCGAAAGTAAAATTTTGAGTTAATAATTCCTAGTTTTATAACAAATTTACGAAAATTGTAAATGATTTACGATTTCAGCAAGTAAAACTGTCGCACTTATGACATTACATCTCTCTTTCACTTCGCCAGCTCACATCATAGTATGCATTTCACTGCACAATACTTTTCACAGGCTTGGGCCTTTTCTTTAATTCATCCACTTGTGGTATCTTTTGAGGTTTTCTATGTGAGGTTTCCTCAAGCCGGAGTCACCTCAGGTGCTGGTGTGACACAGTAAAGCATTTGTTGTGTGTTTAACTAGGGATTGAATTTCAAACTGCTCATGTTACAACTCTTAAATGTTATGTTTTAACTCTAAAATGGTAACCAAACTCCGAAAAGAGAAAAGTAGCTAGTTACACTTATGTATTAGACACTTATTTTAATTATATTCAGTGTTTCTGTATGTATATCATATCTATTCATTTATATATTTATTTATTTATTTATTTATTATATATATATATATATATACCAGCTGATACCCGCCCGCTTTTCTGGGCACACTATCTACTTGAATGTGAACCTAGACTTCTTATATGGACGAATTGATAATCAATATAAATTTTTTTAATTTAAAGTCATGAAATATAGTGCCAGTCAGTGAAGCTGTCCTACACAGATTTCCCCATCACCCACGAGGTACCGTGTATTGGGATGCATCGCCGTGGCGGGATCCCCAGTAAGCCTACACCACGAAAAATTGCCAACATAAAACTAAGGTTTATATATATATATTTAACTGTTATCACAAGTTTCATGAAAATAAATGTTATCATCTTTGTTATCAAATTTTTTAATCAATTATAATTATAATTATTTGTTCTTGATTTTTTATCTATGGCAATTTTATAAAAACAACATTTTATTTTTCATCAAATTCTTTTTCTCTTAATAATAAATTTATTTTCTTGAAACTTATGATAACAGTTAAATATATATATTATTATTAACCTTATTATTTAAATGTTGTTTGTATTCATTGGATAGATGCAAGCTATTAACCAATTTAATAATTTTAGAAGAAAATGCATTCATTGGCAACATTGTATTTCATATCTAGATTTGGAGACAATAAAAGAAAGTTCTGAACTTGGATTTGAAAACCAAATGTATGAAAAGCTTCTATTGTATAACAAAATTTCATTTTGGAAAGGATTTACTTAAAATCCGTTTTTAGTGAGCGTCTACATCGTGGAATGAGTAACTATGCAAAATTTCAAGTCAGTCGGATGTATAATTTCGGAGATTTCGTGATGAGTCAGTGGTATTTCGCTTATACATTGAGAGATAAAGAAGAATGTCTGTTTGTGTGTTTATTTGTTGGTGATTAACTCAGTCACTACTATAGATATCCTCACTAAACTTTCTAGATTTCTTATCTGGGTCGTGGGAAAGGTCGACGTCCACTCTCTCCCCCCCCAAAAAAAAAGTAGCTAAAATCAGCGACATTAATTAAAAACTCTGAAAACGCTAATTTTCGCCCTCATTTTTCCGAGTGGCAGTGGTCTTGCACGCTGGAGATAAAATATACTTTATTTCGGGAAGTGTTGCCACTGCTCACTTTCAAATCGTAGAGTTTGTTAATAAAAAATTTTAAAGTTTTACAATGAAATAAAAATAGCATTGCCAAACATTAAATACATTATTATTCTCTATTCCAAAAAGTCGTGTGAAGCCATTTCGACTATTCCCATCTTCGTACAGTTTTTATCAGCCGAGATATTAAGTAAAAACTTTGAAAACACTCATTTTTCCGAGTGGCAACAGCCTCGAGCGTTAGAGATAACAATGCTTTATTTCAAAACGTGTTTCTACTACTCGCTTTCAAATCGTAAAACTTGTTAATCAAAAATTTGTTTTACAAAATGTATATATATATCTATAAAGAATAATGCCTGTTTGTGTGTTTGCTGATTGATCAATTTTTGGCCACATTTAATCGACTAAAATTGGATATAGGTGATATCTGATTAAAAAGCATGCCATTGTTGCTGATATAATGAGAGATAATTCGTTTATTTTTCTATGGAAATTTTTTATGTGGGTTCTATATCGCAAACTGAAAAATGTATGACTATGAAACGTATTTTTTGCATCATTATTAGAGAAGGATTACAGCAGTATCGTTCTCTCTGTTGTTTACTCTCAATCTAACTAAACCTCGTATCGGGTAATTCCGCTAGTTTAGTATAGTTTTCAGGATAAACTTTGCTTTATTTATCACTAATTACGCCATTCCCGTCAGAATTGATACTTATATTTATCAAAACGTAAGATGAAATGTTGCCTTTAAGCTAAAGTGACTTCGCATTTCAAGGTATGTTCCGTAAAATACTTCGCACTCTATGGTACTCGATTCAGTAAATGCTGTAAATTTATAATACTCAGTTACTGCCCCACTAGACGGTCATGAAGATGATTCTGAGGAATCAAAAATATATTCGATAGTAAAATTATAGTACTTTCTACGCATACATTTTATAAACTCGCGAAGTCTGCGGAAAGATAGCTTTGCCAAAGAATTTTTCTATTTCTATTCCAGCTGCCTTACCTAAATGGAAACTAGAAAGTGAAATTAATCTTTCTGAACTTTTTTTTTCAAATGGAAGTACTATATATATTATAGTAATAATTTTAACAATATACATATTAAAATGATGTAATAAATTTTAATATTTAGTAGCTTGCAATCATTTATCAGTTTCCAGTTGTCATTACCTCATTTGATATGATACTGTACGTATCAGATAGTAGGGCATATTAACAAATATTTGAAATGATAAGCTACATGTGATTAAAAACCTTTTAATCACATGTAGCTTATCATTACAAGACTTTGCAGTTTATGACTGCAGAAAGAAGATAAGACCAGCCACGCTGACCGTCCTGTACTTTGACTACAAAAATAAATCTTGCTCCTCAATATTTTTTAAATTTCAGGTATGTTTTTTGTCAGTGAACTTGTGAAGTATTTTTCACTTTGATAACGACTTTAATTTCTAAGCTTGATGGTTTTAAATTCTTTATCCGTTTTCTATATATTAATATTTATTGCTGATTATTTTAAACTTATAAATGAAGGACAAAATGTGAAGTATTTTTATTGTCTTGAAGTCCGCTTTTTATTGCGGGAATAAACATGATAAATTTTAATCTACGACTTCATGGCATAACTACAATCTAACTGTAAACTAAAAAATGACTAAGGGTTTTTCTCTTTGACATGGATGATCTGCAAAAATTTAAATTGTAGCTTTTGAAAAACTGATTTTCCGAAAGAAGTCTGCAGTTTAAGATAATAACACCAACGGGTTATAAAAATTAAGAAAGATGCTTTGAGTATTAGTTGTGTTCCATTGCAGCTAATACATAATTACATGAGTGTTGTTCATATATACTATGTTATGAGAACTGCATTTTGCAATAATTTCCTTTTTATCTTAAATACGTAAAATGCAAGCAACACTTCTAATAATTTTACCATATTTTTCTTTAAACTTGGGTGTTCATTTCGTTTTTAACATTCAACAGCACAAAAAGAAAATGTTTTGAGAAAAATATGAAATGTAAAATTGCAGAGAAATACCTTTTTAACCGTTTTATGAAAGATATCTATTTATAAGAATTTTTACGCTTTACAGTATTGCAATAATATTTATTTACATTACATTATTTAAATTTCGCATGTTTCACAGTATGTATCTTACATTTTAATATATAGTAATACTAGGTATACTCTATATTTAATAACGAATATTTAGTTGAAGTATTCTTACAGCAGTACTGAAATTTCTGTTTTCTGTAAAGAAGTGTAAATTTGCTTTTAATTTCAGCTGCATTATGAAAATATGTTATGTATTAATTTTGAATGCTTATTAATCGATCAGTTAATTACTATATTTATTTTACAATACGCATAACGTTCTGAAAGATGTATGAAAAATGAGAAGTTATCTGTAAATCTTTTTGGGGGATGATTAAAGCTAAGAAACAAATTTAAAAATGCAGTTTTGAAATTAAATTATCGGTTGATACACCTAATACACGCTGTACTTAGAAAACTTTCTTAATAATATGTACTTAAATAAATAAACATGATGTACTTAAATAAAAAAAATGGCGCACTGTTTTGAAATTAAACGTTTTCCAAAAATAACTACTTTTATTTATAATTTAAAAATCATTGTGTAATTTATGTAATTAACACTTCTAAATGCAAAGTAGATAATAAGGCTCATAACAAAGGAAAACTTGATTTCGCAAGTAAGTATGCGTTTAATAAATGTACTCCGAAGAAGGTATGCAGTTTTGCAGCTACAGTTAAAACAAGTCAAAATAAGAAATTTCTGCATACATAGTTTTCCCTTCTAACAGATTTGAATTTAGAACCTTGTAAATAAAACTCATAAGGTGTAGACTAACTTTTTTCAGATATAAGTTACCACCCATTACGATTTGTGATTTCAGACGTATAATTCCTCTGATACCTAGAGAAGGTAATTTTATAAGGTCAGTAAGATTTAAGTATACATTTGTGAACTGCATTTTTCGTTTCCGGCCTATCGGGTTTAGTCTAATAACGTACAAATGGATTTTTATTTTCCTAATTAACATTTTTATAAATGTTAATTTACTTTCTGAATTGCACATTGGTTAGCAGTCCAGTTTTCTTTTACATTTGTCGAAACACATACTCGCTTGATGAAAACGTGCCGAAAATATAAAAATAATTTCTTTTTATATTTATTTATTGATTTATTTATTGCACTTCGAATTTTTGTAGTGGTTGTTTACACTGTTTCGAACGAATTTCGTTTTTGTTCTGCTTTGATGCATCTGACTACAGAGCCGTAGCTAGTGTTTTCAGAGTCTGGGGACAAATGAAAATTTCACACTCTTCTCCTGTTTGTCAGGAATAGAATATTTCATTCCAATCTTTCGTAACTTTATTTTCGAGCTTTGTGAATGTTGCGCTCGGGGACTGAAGCCCCTCATGTTTTCTCTACTACTCCAATGTTTGAGTATATTTTTTGAAATTGCGCTAGGTTTAGTTTTGTTAACACGCAGCTTTCAGTATGTGATTTAACTTTGGGAACTAATTGTTCAGTATATATATATATATATATATATGAATTCCATTTCAAAGTTTTGCTTCCGATAAAAACGCAAAAACTTACATCTGTCAAACGATTAACCAAGCTCTTCCTGTCTGACTCTTCATCTATCGATATATGCCACTATGCGATTTTATTGGTGCGATGTTTTATCGATATGAAGATTTTATTGATTCGTCTAATAATAACTTGCAATGATGAGTTAAAACTATAGGAAACCAAATAACACATGATCCTGAAAAGCGACAAGTGTAGCCATTTACCTGCATTAATACAGACCCGTTGCGCACACACAGCAAAAAGGTGTCACCGTTGTCAGCCTAAATAATCACCTGTACCTCATAGGGAGGAAGCTGAGTGCCCCACAGATAGTCGGCAACCAAAAATCCAAAATAGTGACAACCTGTTTATCAATGCGGTCTCAGGACTGCAACACACCCATATTTGATCGAATGTTCATGAGTAACGAAAATTTTGTCCAATACGAAAATCCAAGAGTATTGTGTCTACTTTATTTTGGGCCTTGTACCTGAAGACGATATGAACGCCAGTTAAAGAATAAAATTACAGTCCTACTTTATTTCTTTTGGCTTATAAATGTTTTCATTTGGAGAATTTAAAATTATCATTCGCTAAACGACATCCTGCATTACCTAGTACATGCGCTATCAGTGTACTATTGTATTATTACTGTATTATTGTACAGCATTTTGCCCTGTTGCATTGTTCTATGGTACACTTTGTTGTGCTGTATTTCTCATCTTACTCACCTGCGTAACGTGCTTAAACGCAACTGGGAATCTTCGTTACGTTGATAAGTTTTTGCCAAAATCTTTGCTAGATGTTTCTAGAGTATAAAAGGCATTATTTATAAATTCACAGCAAAACAATATTTATGTAAACAATATCTTTAATCTTATCTATCTGCATAATTAAGTTTAAGCTCTCTGAATATATTTTCTATTCGATTTCTTTCCAGAAGCTCATCATGTCAGCATCTTCTACTTCAGTTTTGCCACTAGTACAAGTTGTGGATGGTTTGCCAATGTCAAAAAATGCCCCCATCGAAAATATACGCTCTGCGCTCAGTTATATACCACGAGATGACGATGTTTTTATTGCAACTTATCCAAAATGTGGAACAACATGGGCACAACAGATGCTGATTCTTATCTTCAGACATGGCAAACCTTTAGAATCGTTCATGAGATTTGGTGCTGTATCTCCATTTCTCGATATGGCAGGTATGCTTTTTATATTGCATATCCAAATCAGAACTCAGTAGAGCTCATTCTCATCCTGATAACAAAAACAAATCTGTAAGTTAAGATCATGTTAGAAAATTATTATTCTAATGTGTTTTACACTTTAAAGATGTGGGATGTTCTTCATGTTTTAAAACTTTGCTTTCTTCTAAATGGTAAATTAATAAGAAGCTAGGATATGGTTGATAGTAAACCCTTTACAAAAAATATCTAAATATCTATTATCAAATTTTACTATAAAATTTTATTTCTAAGTGTCATTAAAAAACAAATGCCCTTTGTAAGTGACTCTGAAAGCAATCCCTCAATTTTATGCAAAATTTTGTTTTGGACGAACGTAGTTTCATAAAAAAATGCATTCCATTTTTATACAAACGAGAGTCCTTATGGAGCAATATTATTATGAAATTTATTCTGTTTGTTGTTGTAAAGTTTTCATTACGGTATTTTACATACATTGAAAAAACAGAAAGCAATGTTATGACAAAGGATCAAGATAAGTTAACAAAATTAATGTATTTGAAATCAGGAAAACAAGACGTTTAAAAGTGTGAGCGCAAATTAGGACTTTTTTCTTCTTCTTTTTTCGTTGGGCCATAACTAAAGCTTAAGAAATAATCAAATAAGGTAAAATTTAAAACTATAATAATTTTGGTGACCTTTTACCTTTAAATGAAATATAGGACACTTCAGTTTTTTATGTGGGCTTTTTACGAAGAAATTTATAGCTAATATAAATTGTCATTTTCTTACTGAAGATGTCGGAGGAAAAACTTCTGGTTGTAAAATGCAAAAATGAAATATCAAATTTGCCGAAACTATTTGATCTTATCAAGGGGTACTCGAAAAAACTAGTTACTAAATTGTTCCTTTCCTCCTAAACGTGTTTTTTTTTGGCAGGACTCCTAGTTGATTAGATTGTGACAAATTAGATTATATAACTATCAAAATTATTTGATTTGAAGAACGTTTACTCGAAAAAATATCAAAAAGAGTGTTGTCAATACTGTAAATTAAATGAGAATTTTTGTATTGCAACGAATGGGTATTTAAAGTACATATGAGCACGTATCAGCATATTAAACTTTTCCAGATATAAAGCAAATTTTTAGAATTACACATTTAAAAATTTAGTATGCATAATTCTGTTTATATAAGTACAAAAACATTTTACTTAATGGTATCTTAGATAATTTTGATCATACAAGCATCTTTTGTTTCCATGACTAATTCGACTGCGGGGAACGTTTTTTTTTTCGTATTATAATATATTCGTATTATAAATAATGAAGTTTCATATATTTTTAATTAACTGGAGTCATATATGATCAAATTCGATACAGCATTGACTATCATGTTTTATTGAGTTCTTAAAATAAGATAATAAATTTAAGGTTCCTATTTTATTTGATTATCGCAAAACACACAGGGAAGGGATACCTCCGCGGAAGACTTTGTCAGGGAAACTGGCTAGTATCTAAGCTACACGTAAAGAAAAAAAACGGAAATGCTCATGCAGCCAGCCTATTCGCCGGCATTTGACCGTCGGTTGAATTACCGGCGTTCAGTGCTTTTACCTCTCAACCATTTTTGGGTCCATGAACTTACGACCATTTATTCATGAGATTCTTTAGTCGCCCTAGTTTTTTTTAATGCACTTTCTAGTAAATATATTCACTTATAATGGAGACTTCCTAACAGATACTAATTTGCACTTATTTTACCTATACGGTCATAAAAAGGTCATAAAAACATTCATACAACTAAAAAGAGTCAAGAATGGAATATCTGATACAAAACTGTTGGAGATTTTGCCAATGGAAATAAATTAAGTTTAATTCCCATTCATTAGAGTTATAAGTGGCTTAATTAATGAATAGCTACAAAATATCCTTTCGAAAGCTTCTTATTTAGCTTATGAATGTGTTCAGCTTAGAATGACTGTTTAGTTTTGCTAACTATCATATTGATTTTACTATAAATTAATTACTAGGAGTCAAAGCTGTAGAAGAGATGCCAAGACCTAATGCTATCAAGACTCATCTGCCTTACCATCTGGCTCCACATTCAGTCAAAGCCAAATACATTTACGTCACTAGAAATCCTAAAGATTGCTGTGTTTCTTATTTTCACCACACCAGAGACAAAGGGAACTATGAATTCAATGGAACATTTGATGACTTTTTCGAGCTGTTCTTGTCTGGAAATGTAGAATTCGGGGATTATTTTGATCACTTGCTCAGTTGGTACTATCACAGGTAATTTCAATGTAGCAAATCTTATGCTCAGTAATTTTTTGCTTTATAACTAATTGCTTGGCAACTCGAGATGAAATGTTGTAACTAACTGAAAATACTGGTTTTCTTAAAATAGGAATAATCAGAAAATTTAAAATCAATGAAATTCTACTTGAAGAATTCTATTGATAAATGGCACAAATTTACTTTATAGAAACATATTTAATAGAAAAATGTTATATATTTATGTTAATTCATATTTAATGTTAATTCGCAGAGAACTATGACAAAATGTGCTTTTACAATGAAATGGGGAAAAGCAATAAGGAGTCTGAGCATATCTTATACCAATACGAGATAAATAGTGATATTCCATTCTGTTTAAAACGATGTCAGTCAACTAATAGCCTCCCCCAAAAATGTGTTTGTCAGCTTCATTGAAAAGAGAGAAATATAGTGTAGATTCCTAAATTATGCAAATTAAGTTAAAAATTTAAATTGACGCAGATTTTAAATAAAGCTATCGATTGTGAGAGAGACTGTTTTCTTAAGAAGTAAAAAATTCTGGGCTGGAGACCAAACGAAGAGCCAAATAAATAGAAAAATCTAAATGCATACTCAGGGACATAGACGAAATGGATATTGCGTCTGTCAAGAAAGAGAAATGAAAAGAAAGAGCCTTAACAAATAGACTAAAATTTAAAAGCTTTGGAAATAATGAATTGAACTTGAATATCATTATATCAAATATAAAGATTTTTGTAAAATTGAAAATCTTAAGGGAGTTTATTTCGCCAAATTGAAAATTTCCCTTGTGAATTTTAGAAATATTCAAAATTCTGGTTAAGTGTCCAACAATAATAAGTTATTTTACATTTATTTAAATTTTCTTTTTTGACATAAGATTTACATTTTTTAATACAAAAATTTAACTTTCGTTTAGTTTAGCTGAAACATGTTAAGCCATATTGATAATAAATACGACTAATTCGTCAAAATTAAAACCCGAAACAGGATCTCTATAATCAGAACTTCGATTTTATATTTAGGTGAGAAAATGAACTGAACGTTTAATTTGTGAAAAATTTTAGTAATTTTATAATGGAAAAATGGGATGGCAAATAAGATTATAATGATTACTTTTAGCAGATGACTGTCTTTTATGACGGAAAGAAAAACTCTTTAATAGTTTGGCAATAATCATGGAGAAAAAGGATTATGTTTATGGCAAGTTTCAAGTAATTGAATATCTGCTAAAAATTATGAAAATTAAATCTTAAGAACTCAATAAATGTAAACGAAAAATAAATTATTCTTTCGTATATTTATTGAAGGATTATCCGTTTTTGAAAAAGGTTTACTATCTTACTCGCGAAATGAAATATGAGCTGTGGCTTTCGAATTTTCAACATGAGCGTTAGGATATTAAAAACTGCTTGAAATGTGTCAAATATAAAGCAAGCTTTCTAAAAGCGGCAGAAATTTCCTCAAATATATTATCATTAAACTTGTCGATTCAAGTAGCAAAGAGCTTATAATAGCAGCTAATGAAGCCATTTCGCACTTCATGTTGCTATTCTCAATCTCAGCTTTAAATCTGCCAATCGTTCATCTAAATTGATTTCGAAGCACTTTTAAACAAAGTTTAGAATTAGCCAGACAAATTATGAAGCTGTCATTGATAAGCCACTGTTGTTTGAACAGTTTTACCAAGATTCAGATAAATCAAGTTTTGTGGCGGTGTGAATAGATTGTTCTAACAGGAAAGAAATTAAAATTAGGACAAATAGTTTTGTTATAGTTAAATTAGTTTGCAGTATTTTGTACCAGATTTTGGAGTAAAAGTTAAAATTTCAGATTTTCGATCTGTTTATAGTGCAACTGCAGATACACTGGCAACCCCTTTAATATCAATAATAAAAACTAATAATATAACAACAATATATATAGATTAGATTTTGTGGAGATAACGTAATACTGTTCACTATGGTTGTGGTGCTTCCATCGTAAATAACAGCCTTCAAGGTATCCAGGTTCAATGTTTTCTTCTAACCTTCTTCGGAAACATACAATGACCTGACTAAACAGAGAGCTTACTAAAGCTATGTTCACTAATTGTAAAAGTAGACAGGATACAGACGAAGGGTATACAAAACCCTTTATTTTTTCTTATATTATACAATGACTTCCGTACTTCGGAATACAATGACCCTCCACTCGGGTCTAACTTAAAAGATATCAAAATAAAACTAAACTCTAATTAACTTTTAGAATAAGATTGGCCTTATAATAACAGGAAGCGTATGTAGCACAGAGACTGTGAACACTACAATACGTTTAAAATTATCAAGAGGATTAAAACCTCTGGCCTGGAAGGCAAAGTAGCAACTGAGTAAAACTTCTAAGGTAAGCGGCCTGCTTCGAACTCACGGCTTCCTCTCTCTCTGCTTGGCAAAAAGGCCACAACTTAAATACTTGGCGTTCGCCAGACAAACTTTGCATAAATCCTTCACGCTTATAATTCTGGCCGGAAGTAGAAAATAAGAAGTGATAGTAAAGATTTAAAATAAAATAAACGTTAGTAAAACTTAAGATCCTTACATACTTCCCGCCAGAGTTAATTAGTTTGAAACTGAGGTCTAAAACGACCTTGTTGAAAACTTTTAGCTCTAGAAACTAACGCGAGGCCAACTTTTACAAAACATAACTTAGCTAGAAACTAGAAAATTTAAAAGAAAGAATTTTGTTACAATAGCAGCTCCCGGATATACAACAACCTTTTTTCTTTTTCATCTGTACTGCATCTAAAACAGGAGCTTTATTCAATTCTGGTTCCTTCCAGAGATCTGGAAGGAAAACTAGTTTAATGAAATGTTACACAATGAAATTGCAAATAACATATAGAATATACTTTCTTAACATTCTTATTTCATTCATGACTATTTTAATTATCTCTCCCCGTGCTCTCTGACATGTGTTGTAAAAGAACACCAAACACGAATGTGTTTCTGTCTACGTGTTCCACACTTCCTCCTACAATCAAAACACTAACGTGTTAAAATTCAACATAACAAGACCTCTTAACACACCCTAATTTCAACTCTAAACCCTGAGGTACTATTCTGAAAGTGTCTAACTCTAAAGTGTAGCGTCAGAGAGCCTAACTACATTCATTCAACCTTTAACACATATTCACCATAATTTGGTCTTTTTACAGTCACACGAATAAAAAAAATTTTAACATTCACTTTTACCATATCACGGTATTTCTTAACATTTAAAATAACAGTTCACATTGTATATAAGAACATATCAACATGCCGTTAATTTTACACATTTGAAAACATACATTAGTAGTACATTGTTAACTTCTATTCTTTTCAAAGCAAGTGCCAATTCTTTCTACATTGAAATACTACATTTCAAAAGTCTTTCAGACTAAAACTTCTTTCTTGCTAGAATGTTTTAAATAAAATTATACAATAACTTTTACAATATTTAAGTCTTTACACAACGCTATTATACATCAACTTTAGTTTTACGCGCGAGTAATTGAAAAACATAATACCAAAATCGGTAACAACAACTCATTTCTCGCCCTTTTGGCGATAAAGGTAGACCTCGCATGAGGTAAAAACTTCTTGAAATCTGCCACTTGCAGTAAGAATGAAAGATTAACTTAAGTTTGCAAAGTAACATAAAATTTTACTTATCTTTGTGATATTCGGACATCCTTTTCTGGGCCCAGTCTTTAAAGGTATTGCAGATAGTAGTTTGATTTATCCTCCTTCTTGTACGGGCTCGCCCTTCAGTGCTTTCCTCTGGAAGCTTCCGTTTTTCACCACTACGGCCACCCTTGAACATCTTCCTTCTGTCCTCTGCTTGTGGTCTTGGCCGTTTGAAGGCAGCTGGTCTTGGCGGAACCGGGAAACTTCTGTCGTGATCCTGCTTGGACCTCGTTGTTGGCCGTTCAAATTTTTCCTTGTACTTTTTCCTCTCGCCGCTGATGGCCCTTCCGCAGTTCGGCGACTTTTGCTGCGGAGAGTTCTGTCGGATGAGTCAATCTTCCGTTTCACAGCCGGGTTATAGTTGCCGTCCTTTCTCCCGGCTTCTTTTCCACATACGTCGTCCTTCTCCCTTCTTCATTCTGGGGGTGTTCGTGAACTCTCTTTTTTGGACGGTGGAACGGCTTCTTTTTCTTTTACCTTCAATTTTTTCCGCGGGGCAATTTTCTTTTCACTTGCTTCTGCTTCTGTCTCTCATTGGCTTGCCCTTGTACTTGTCGTTTTCCCCCACCTCTGGAACTTGTACCTGCGGTGTCTGCCGTACCGGATCCTGCAAAAGATCTGAAAAGATTTGCATTTTATTACGGTCATAGAATGGGTTTTATTTGATCAATGTTTGCGGAAACAGGTTTTCACCATTTCTTGCCTTTTAATACTACAACAGCGTGAGTTATTTTTTCTATAACATATGGTCCTTCAAAGCGTGGGAAAAAATTTGGCAGTTTTATCTTCTGGTGCTGAAGAAAGTGAATGCTTAATTTTTAGTACTTCATCCCCTACTTTATAAGTTACTCCCCGTCGTTTCAAGTCATAATACAATTTTTTGTTTTCTTTGTGCTACTTCTGTATTCTTTTTTGCTTCTTTTATTAGTTTTTCTATATCACCCATTTTAAATTCTGGGGCTCTTTGTTGCACATAAATAGTTTATCTAACGGTGTTATAATCTTTCTGCCTAGAAATAACTCAGCAGGAGTTTTGCCCGTTGTATCATGTTTTGGCGGTCCTAAGGGCGAAAGCAAATTCATTGACATAGTTATCCCAGCTTTTATGAAAATTTTTAACATAACATAACTACGGATAATTTTCACTATATTTCTGTTGACCCGTTCCGCTATATTTGATTGCGGCCGATACGGGACCATTTTTAAATGACGTATGCCCAGTTTTTGGCACATGTCTTCAAATATATTACTTACAAATTGAGGACCATTATCCGATATAACTTTTTAGGGGCG